TCCCATAGCAGAGGAAAGGCCTCACTGGAGGATGCAGCCTCTTTCAGCCCCTGGCAGCCCCCGAGTAGTGCTTCAGAGGGTTTTGGAACAGAGGGAGAGGGTTTGGTAGGATAACACAGTCCCCAGACTCTACTGTGGGCATGGGCTGCTAGATTTGCCTCCAAGCTCTGCACTCGTCAACATGCTTCAGCCCCAATGCCCTCTTCCCTCTGATATTCAAGAATTGCTGGTGGAGGAAAGGTCACTGAAAAGAAGAAAAGTGTGTCAAAATTCCCTTTCTTTTTGGTAAAAATCCCTAAGAAATCATTCACTGCTGGAGTCTTCCTGCCAGGACTTCCAGCCTCCATTCTGCATGGACGGCCCATGTTCCTTGGTGTTCTCATGTCCTGGCTCAATGTGTAAGTGTGGCTGGAGAACACCTTTGCTGCTGCCTCTTGTTAAAAGCTGGCTGGTGGAAAAGCCAGCCCTGATCCAATGGGTGCTTGTGCAGCCTCTCCTTGACTCGATGGGAAAGCCAGCCATGGGACTGAGGAGGATGCCCAAGCCAGAGCAGAAGCTTTGTGACCACTTGGACATCTCCAGCTGGGATCCCCGGACACATTCAGAGGTGTCTCATGGCAAGATTTGCTTGAGATGTGGCCATGCTGCCAACAAACCCCAATCTCAGGGCAGCAATGTCTGCTGTCCACCCAAAGCTCACTCTCTGGTGGGATGCATGAGAGAATATGGGGAGCAAATGGCCTGTGCTTTCGGTGGTGCAAGGAGCAAACCGTTGGGTGATGCCCCCAACCTTGGAAGCCCAGGGAGGGGGGTTTTGTGTACGGCCAGGAACTGGAGCTGGGCTGCACTACACCGTGTTCTCCCTTCCTTGCCAAGCTGCACTTCCAGCCCCAGCTCCGTGCTGCCTAATTAAATAGAAAGCTTTGAAAGCCTGGTGATGACTTTGTTTCTCCTTCAGGCAACTCTTTCCAGCCAACAGTCCTGTCTTCTTCTCACCCTGCTTCTCACATGCTGTCTAGCATGTAACAGGAATCTCTGTGGCACCCAAGATTCTTGTGCATCCCTTCAGGGTTTCAGAAACGCAAGCGATACCCTGCAAGGAAAGCCCTTAGCGCAGACAGCTTTTGCTGCTGGCACAAGGATGGAGTGGAGATGCATGGAGCCTCTCTCGTTGCTGCTCCCATTCCCTGTCAGCTGCCTCTGAGAAATGCATTTCCCCTGCCTGCGGTGGAAACATTTCCCTGAGCTTCATCAGAGCCAGCACTGGCCAAGTGCAAGCTGATACTGGCCAAGGATGCAGGGGCTCCACCAGCACGTCAGGACAAGAGAAGCCAGCAGAGACCCCCCCCTCTCTGCCCTGTTGGGCCACGAATCAGCCACGCTGCCGAGTGTCCACCCCCTCTCCCCCACGCCAAGTTTATCTCGCGTCTTTCTCTGAACTGCGCTGCCTTGGCGTGCCATGCTATCTCCTGACCCCATCCCATCCAGGCCCAGTGTTGGCTGACCACACTCTGCACCTCTGTGTCACAGGATGTGCCCCTGTGTCCTGGCTGCTCCCAAGGCCAGGGCAAGAACAGAGATGTCCTCGTGTTTCTCTCCTCAGCTCCAATGTTTGCAAACCTCCAGCCACTGGCAGACTCCATGATCCCTTCGGAGCTGGGGGCCCTATTGCCCTTGCATCGCTGAAGATGTTTCCCTGCATGAGCAGCTCTCCTTGGTGTCTCCCAGGTACAAGCTGTGACACACAGGTGCAGGACATCTGCTCCTCCTGCCCCTTTGGGAACATCTGGCACACGATTTACCCTCAGCCTCTGCTCCTCAGTCCACTGAGTCCTGGCCACACGGCCCAAAATATAAAGGTGCTGGGTGATAGGTTTGTTAAGGTGAGCACCCACAAAGCAGGACTCTGACCCTCAGACAAGAAGGTGAGGGCAGGCAGGCAACAGCCCCACTGCCACGATGGGGATGCCCTCCTTGGAGAGGGGTTATTCCTCCCTGGCTACCAGAGCCTTTCTCAGGCACAGGATGCAAGCAGAGGCCAGGAGATGCCAGAAGAGGTCAGATCTACATCCCCACATGCACTGCCAGGTAGCTGGCAGCAGCAGGGGACCTTTTCTGGAGAGGGAGCTGGATTTTTCCAGCACATCCTTCCCTAAAAATGAATGCAAGGCGGGTACTGAGCAGCCCAGCCTCAGCAGACACTTCACTGGGTGAAACAAATCGGCCAAAGCAGAACAGCTGAACTGCCCCCTTGAAGCCTCCACATCAGTCCTCTGGCTGTGAGAGGAGTCAAGGCAACGTGCTATGATGGAGAAGGCCCTGCAGCAGGCGCTTCACGAGGGACCTCAGTCCTGCCAAGGTGTCTCAGGCTCCCAACATCTGGTGCCACTTTGCATATCAGTGGGTTTGATGTCACCATGAGAAGCAAAACCGTGAGGCTGCATTTCAAAGCCATGAGCGCCTGGGCCCACAAAAAATGTTTCCGTATCATATTTGGGTAATGTGCTTTTGGCATCTAGCAACAAGTCGAAAGAAATTTGGGGCATTTCTGATTTAGAAAATATCTGTTAGCAGTGTTTTCTATCCTATTTATGTTCTCCAGTATTGTTTTGCTGCTGCTGTGTCTAGGAGACAAACCCAGTGGCTAAAATCACAACATTTGCCAACTACGGGGAATTAACAACAGGAAAAGAAGGAAACTTCCAGGGACAAGAAAACAGGAGAGCTGGAGAAGTCGAATTCATATTGTCGAGGCTTTCAGTACTAGACTGGGCTACAAGAACCATAGTAAAATCTTACGCTGTTGAGTGACTGAGCACGAAACGGGATGACAAAATTCAGGGTCCATATTGCACAAGAAAAACCCACCTAAATTCTAGCCAGCATCAGGGGCTCTAACTTAATCCTGCTCTATGGAAAGATCCTACTGTCAGAGCAGAAACCTCCCTAAAAAGGCCCATTTGATGCTCAGATGCAGTAAGGGAGGAAAGAGGCTGGATTTGTTAGAAAAAATGACAGACAAGGAACTAGCGAGTGTTGCTATGTATAAACCTGCAGTCCTCCCACATCCTGAATCCATCCCCACCTCGAAGCGGATGCAGGAGAACCAGAAAAGCTCTGAGAGCCATAACAGGGTGAGAACTGCACAACACACTGGCGCGCCAAAGGATGAGGATTTTTCTGGCTGGGAAAATCACGCTTACCAAAGAAGTTGGTAAAGGCCTGTGAAAAGGTGTGCGGCAGAGAGAAGGTGACCAGGGCCCATGTTTTTTGCCCTGTACACAAGATCGACAGGGTGCCCACTGAATTACCCCGACAAGACAAAAGGAAGAGCTGTTTCGCAGCAGCTCCACGTGGGATGTATTGGGGCAGGATAGCTTCCAGAAGGGATTGGACAAATTCCTGGAAGATGGAGGTGCTGACGACTCTGATGACAGCTCTCCAAGAAAACTCAAAAGCTTGCGATTGCCAGAAGCTGAGTGGGTAGCAAGGACTTCTCACTCAGTGCACACACACGCACACTTTTTTCCTCAAGCATCCGCTACCAGCCACTTTTAGAAGAAAAACCCCAAAGCAACAATCTCTGGCTTGAACCAATGGAGCTAGGGATGCCAGGCACTCCTGAGCAGTCAGTGTCGGCCCTGATGCACCCATATGGGAAGGTGAGGGAGTGCTGCCCTGGGAAGTGGTCCTAGTCCTGCTGGGGTTAGGGCAGCACCTTGGGCAAGGGGGTTTGGTCCCTTTGGGGGTCTTGGTGCTGATGCACTGAAGAAGGGTCATGTATTCCTCTAGCAAACGGGCTGGAGCTCGCATCTGAATGGGGCAGCAGGGCAACTCGAGCTGGGCATGCGCTCAGCTGTCCCTGCCTGTGGCACTGGCTGCTGGCGGGACT